GCAATGCTACTCGCCACGACTCGCCCTGTCAAATTCGATTTGTTCGCCTGGAGACAAACAATCTGGATGTCTTCCGTTTTGTTTAAGTTGATTGAATGCAGTCGAACTAGCAACCCTTTGTTTTGTTTTCTATGTGCTATCCTTTATTTTTATTTTGATTCTTGGGATGTGTTTTGATGTCTCATTCACCAGGTACGGATGTTTTGGCTTTTATAGTTTCGCATATTTGTTCATTGTTTCTTATCTGGATTTTAAAATATTTCTTTGTAATGTCCCATCTCAAAAAAACATTTTCAACTTATTGGATTCCGGATTATAATCACTTTTATCCATTTGTATTAGTGATTTAACTAAATTTATTTACAATTACGAATTTTTAAATATATTTTTATCACATTTCCTGAAACCCTAAAAAAAGCGTAATGTAAATGCCGAAACGTTGCCAAATTGATTAAAGCAATTTTTAATACCTGTTGATTTATCCCAAGAATGCAAAAAAATAAAAGCGCATAATACCCAGTGGGATAAGAAGTTATTTCTCTTGTATTTCTTTTCTCGTGGTAGTTTTCAAAAGAAATAATCTCAAACAGACAAAGAGCGTACCCGCGGAACGCCCTCGATGACACTTTTTCCTTGTACAACGTTGAGGGGCGCATGAACATTTCCCAAGCACCGCAGGTTAAACAATCTCACCTAAAACACCCCAGTTGGTCTTTCCGCAGCGACTGCGCCCTCATTTGCATATCACCAGTGGCGGAGAGGTAAATTGCCTCACCTGACATGATGAAGGAAGTGGGGGTGTTGCGGAAATTTGGAGTGACAAGCTGATCCCTTCCGGTGAGAGGTAGACAAGAAGTACATACTACACTTTGTCTTTGAAGTGCACTAGCGGCTCTCATCTGATTTCGATGGATGGCCTAGTACTACCGAAGAGCCGACCATTTTGGCTGGTCGGAGTTCAGATCATTGACTCAACGGCTAAGGCGCAACTGCTTGCCAAGGTCTTTGGTGCCAACTCCACTATGGACGACATCCAGCGCCAGAGTGATATCGATTCAAAAGGTACTCTACAATATGCGTGCAAAACATACATAAGACCTTAAGAAAGGTGCTCTTATTGTTCGAATTCAACAAAACTTCTGGTGCGGACTAGATTCCTGTCGTGGACTGAAGAGATGCACAGCGAATTTCCCAGAGAATTGGAAATTTGCTCATTTCCAACCCATCTCAAAAAAGGATCTAAGACCGACCCTTACATCTACAGGCATAGAGCTCTGCTTTTTGTTAAGTAACGTGATGAAGATGCGCATAAATCGGTAGCTTCTGGAGGACCTCGAATACCACAGCTTATGCAAACTTTTATCCTATGGCCTCCCAGAGAAGCTTTGCAATTGACTGGTTCTTCTCTTCATCGTCAACGAGGGTGTTCATCAGCGATAGGTCTTGTCTCCGCAATTATTCCTCTTACATATCAACGACCTCTTTTCCTGTAAGAGAAATCTGATCCACAGATTTGCTGATGATAGCACTCTACATGCAGGAATTCAGAGTGACAAGCCGATCTCTGCCGATGAGGTGGAGTAAAACAGACTAACAGCAGAATCCCCTCTGACGAGAGACTTGGAGGTTTTCATTGCTTGGGGACTCAACAATTTTATACAGTTTAACGCTTCTAAAACACAGTTGCCTTGAGAAAGAATAAGCGAACAAACATGTGCACAATTTATATAAATATAAACATGGTCGTCCGAAGAAACATTACATGTGTTCATTAATTTACGTATGTTACAGCTGGTGGAATATGTTGATCAGTGATGTGACAGATTAGCGTGAACACTGACATCGCGTGCATAAACTCTGGCTATTCTGGAGGAGCTCATCATACTTGATATTGTTCATATCTACTACATAGAATTATATATAAACGGTTTCAAACCTATGTCGCATCACCAGGCAGACAATCATCTAGCTTTCTCCTATCGCTATGTCAGCGGAATGTTCTCCTTCGAGCACTCCGTTATGATGCACCGCGTTCCAGTCTTGCCAGACGATTACTTCTAATTATAAATCGGTCGAGCAACCTGAACGGTGAGTCCTCCTCCAGTTCTCTAAAGTTTTGGTATTTAGGAGATCGTATCGCAGCTGCTCTAATACTTTTATTTTCTACGACCTTGTTATGCCTTCACGATACGCTACTGTGTTCTTTACTCGCTTTACTTTAGAGCACTGAGCAGGAGATCTTGTTAAAAATAGATAATGGAAAACGTCCGAAATGAAAAAACTTATCGAGAAATAACTTTGTTTCATTTTGCTTAACATGCGCATTGTGAATTTGCATGCATAGCGGAAAACCTATTGACGATATACCTCGCTCGTTGTACGAGAGAGCGTTTCGTTTTTCTAATTCGTCGAGTACTATGAAAATGCTGTTCTCTTTCGAGTTGCGTTTAATTTTGCATCGTTTGTTATACAATGCGGCCATTTAGGCGAAGGGCAGTGGCGTAGCTCATAGTCTGTAATCAGTAAGACGTACGATTAGCCAGGATCGTGTTATAACAATCTGCCTCTCCGGAATTAGTAGTTTCATTTAGGGTCTCATTTATACCTAGCGATAAAGTGAATAGAACACCCAGTAAAATGATTTAATTTGAACGAAAATGTTCATACAGTAGACAAGTATACCTCAATTGACTAGGCTTCCGATCGGGTGATTGATATCTTCTTCAGGTATCTGCGATACATCCCAAGCTAGCTGTACTTGGTTCCGAATACCAACTAACGTTGGTGGAGGATGAGGTAAGGATGTCGCTGTCGTTGTTCTTATCATGTACCACGCATGTTGAATTGGCGAATAATGTGGAAATTCAGGAGGCCATTGATCATTACTCAGGTAATCACTGGCAACATGAGATAGCCCAGTTAAATAGCCGAAGCTGCCGCAAAAGTGATAACATAGCCACAAAGCTATTTCCGTTGGCATAGTGGTGTAATAAAGGTTCGCGAATATTGTTGTATGAATTTGGTTGTCCGGAAACCAGCCGTTGTTTTGTAAAACTGCGAAAAGTCCAAAAAATCTCTTTTTCGCTGAAACGGCTGAGGATGAGGTATTATCATCCTGAGAAAATCCGTAATTCCCTCAACGTATATCCCCAATTTCTACAGGAACTGCAGCCTTGGGAAATATCATTGACTTGCTTTTCATCCAAAAAGTTTTGAAGTGAGTAAGATTCAATGTAGTTGTGTACATCTGAGAACATAAGTAATTTCAACTCTTCAGAGCGTCACAACACAGCACCGAAAAAATGCACAATCCGTTTTCGGCAAACTTCTGTTATTATCACTTCAATCCAGAGGAAGAATTGTGAAACATAATTTGACGTTCCTCAAAAATTATGCTAACAGGGTAAATATGGATTTTCTTCACACGATCCAGATATTCTGCTAAAGCAATTTCTGATTAAAAGTTATTTTAACATTCTGTCTGGTTATGTGAACTTATATATTATATGAAAGTTTTGGCACAAAATATTTATCGGATTTTTTTAATGAAGAACCTTATTTAAACACTAACTAGTTATCATAAATTACAGATCAATACGTAACTAAGCTATACTATCGAATTATTTGGAGTGACCAGACGCAACTTTCTTCTAATGTCCCTGACGGAATTCAGATGAATTTCTTTCAGTTTTTCGCAAATTAGCCATCTTAATTGTTCTTCATCTTGGTCTTCCCAGCCTCCATGATAAACCTTCCTAGACAGTAACAGTATTGGGTGAGCAGCGGTGGCCACAGTAGTAGACTCTTCGGCCTCCTGATCAGTCGCCGTGCGCTGTGCAGGTTCGAGCCCCGTCCCAGGAGAAATTTTTCTCTTGGCTATGGATGTTGTGATTGTCCGTAGGTGGTAGACGGTTTCTGACTGTCGAACGTGGAGGTACCACTCGGCGGATCTCGTAGGCGGAGCCAGAATGTGTGCATGTTGCATGCACACGTGTTCCCTCGCCAGAGTCCACGTGGCGTCCCCCCTTTCCCCTGTATCCCCCTATAGCCCCACGGTACCCCATGGGTGTTTAGGCCTTAGGCCTTCGTGGTAGTTGGAGTATAAATAAAAAAAAACGAATGTAGGAAAAAACTCGCCAGCAGATTTTGCCCACATGAATGTCAGGTTCAAAGAAAACGCGGGTTAGCTTTATATTAGCCCTAGATATGATACGTTATTGGGAAAGCCACGTGTCATAAATGACCTACAGATGAAGAGCGAAAATTGAGAAAATTTTCTTTTATACCCTAGCGCACTACCACGCGCGGCAGTCCCCATTAGTTCTTCGATCGAGCTTCGAAGCCGTAAGGGCAACCTTAAAGGGCCCGCCAACGGGTCGGAGCACATTATGTGTACTGGTCTAGTTGGAATTGATATTTGCCAACATTTTCACTAATCTGCGAAGCATTGTAGTACGTTCAGAAGATTTCGCAATGACGTATCGAGGAAAATATGTGTCAGTGTGATACACAAAAAAGGTTGACTAGGGAAGTGTTTATCGTGTGACTGAATAGGTTGTTGCTTAACTGCCACAATAAAATATTAAGACTAGGCATAGTGCCTCCGTCTGTCCTACCAGCCATGGACAGCTGTTTCATGCTTCCTGGCTACTCATCAGCTTGGTCTTTCGTCTCTGTGGCAACGTGAGAAAGCTCTGCAACCATCATCTATCCCTCAGCGTTTTTTGTGACATTATGTAGGTTTTTCTACAAAATATCAACTCAGCACTAGCTGTTGTACACGTGTGTACTCGTTACCTAGCTGTACGTGTTGTCTAAACGTCATAATGCTTCAATTATCAATCTTTGGCTGTAATGTGATGAACAGTCTGATTTTAAACTGCTTTGATATGCAACAAGTTGTAACCGAACCAACAAGGGTATCTGGTATAAGCTCATCCTTGATTGATGTTATATGCATTCCTAAATCGATACACTACGCGAACCTTGGCACCCTTGATATGCTCTACCTGTCTGATCATCGTTTAGTCCAATGTGGCTTAGACCTTCCGTTACCTAAAGTTGCCTCAAAAATCTTAACATACAGATGTTTATCTACTATCAGTGTGGATGACCTACTACAGGATGCTGCTAATGTGAACTGGAATGACGTCAATAGTTTTGGCGATGTTAACGAGCAACTAAACTGGCTGAATGATGCTATAATTCAGCTATATAACAAACATGCTCCGTTAAAAATAATTGTCTTGAAGAAGAATTACAAACCCTATATAACACACACAATCAAAGCAATGATTCGGTTGAAGAGGAAAGCGTATCGCAGATACTGTAGGAGCAATAACTCAGTTCATCTAGAGTATTACAAGGATTTGAGAAACTACGTATCATTTGCCATAAAGAGTGAAAAGAAAGCTTTCATCCAATACAAAACCAGGTTATATAGGAACTCTCCGGCAAAACTGTGGTAATGTCTGTCTAATCTGAATGTTCATACCAGGCCAGGATTTAAGATTAGTAAATCAATATGTGATCCTAATAGCATTAATGATCACTTTATCCAGTCATTGGCAGGTATTAACGCGTCAACAGATACAATAAATTATTTTCTGATTAACGAATGCCATAGCGTAATTATGAATAGGCTTATGGAGGTACCTGTTGAGCGGGTGGTGGAAGTTTTCAAATCAATCAAGTCTAATGCAAGTCCTATTGATGGTATCAACTTATCCATGCTGGAGATGATCTTCCCTTGCATCAAGCACGCTGTATGTCATATAATCAATACTTCTTTTAACACGTCAATCATGCCCAACCTATGGAAACGCTCGATTGTTCTACCATTAGCCAAAGTACCTTTAGCCACACGACTGGATGACATCCAAGCAATAAATGTACTTCCAACTATGTCCAAGCTTATCGAAAAAATTGTTGAAGCAGAAGTGTTATGCCATATAAACATCAATAATACTCTGCCTGAAGTTCAATCAGGTTTTAGAAAGCACCACAGCATCACTTCAGCATTGATGAACATAACTAACGACATGACTGCATCCATCGATAACTTAGAAGTGACATTACTAATATTACTCGATTTTAGTAAAGCATTCGACTTGGTTGACCATAATCTTCTGGTAGCCAAGTTGTTTCACTATTGTGTGAAAGAATCAGCATTACAGTGGATAACAAGTTACTTAGCAAATAGGAAACAAACGGTAAAGCTCAATGGAGAATTATCTAGTGAAAGGACATTTGCATCAGGGGTTCCTCAAGGCAGCATACTTGGACCCTTACTGTTCAGTATATACACAGCAGATCTTCCCAGCATCCTCAAATATCAATGGAAAGTCCACATGTATGCTGACGACACGCAACTCTACAAATCTGGTGCAGCGAGTGACATCAACAGACTAGTGAGTGAGGTGACTGAAAATCTATATGCTCTAAGTGAGTTAAGGAGCCTTTGGAGACTCAAATATATTCTATCTGTCGATTTGAAATGGCGAATAGTCAATGCTGTTACTATCTAACATTTGGAGAAATGGTGCAAGATAAGGTGCTTCCTGGATGTACCGTTGTGTCAACATACCTCCCCTACTAGAGGTGACTTAGCGCCATATGCAATAGCGACTCGAACCATGTAGTATAACAGAAGTGATATTCAACTGTTCATCATGTCTGTCTCGTGACTAAAACTAAAATAGAACTAAAACTGAGAAAATTCCGCTGATGAATGGTAAAACATTGTTCTTAGTGGTGCATTTCGATCCGGTAGTAATGAATGATGGACAGGCAGAAGGCGTTTTGGAGAAATACGTAATGTAAAGTTTACTTTTATACCATACTTTAGCAGTTACGGCATTATATATGGTGCTAATTCACTTCCTGTTTCCATTAGAGTTGGCATGATAGCACGACGATATATACAGAAAATACCGAAACACCCTAATGGGTTAATAAACGTATTCTCTGACAAAATGATGTCCGCGGTCTGCCAATCCAGACGCCGTGAGTGTTGCGAATTCAAATCCCTTTCCTAGAGATCGTTTCTCCTTGTTATGGAAGTTGTGATTCTCCGTAGGAGGCAGACGGTCTCAGACTGTCAACCGTGGAGTTACCACCCGGCGGATCTCTAATGCGGGTCAGGATGTATACATGTCTCATGCACAGGTATCACTCGGTAGAATCCATTTGACTTCCCCCCTTTACCCCTGTATCCCCTTATAGCTTCACGGTACTAACGCTATGAGCATACATAGTGATCCAAATACATATAAAAATACTTGAAAACCGTATTTACTATCAAGTGTCCATCCTCATATATTGCGAGACTAGCTACCCCAATAACGCTCAAGACTTCCTTGGCGTCCTCAATGAATGAAGGGAAGACAGATGACCTCTTCACATTATCCTCTATAAACGCTAAAAGTTTTTCGAAACAACGTACAGCTTAATATGAGATGCAGTTGGTTACCAAATCATTGGGGATAGTCAAATTCTTCTATTGCTCTATAATTTTGATGCATTTGGCCGAAGTTTCAAGTGCTATAAGTGTAGCTGGAGCTTAGACTTATGTTCAGTGTGTTTTTAAGTGGATGTTGTGGGATTGAGGGCAAGTATACGGGTTTAATTGCAAATGAGAGAGAGAGCCAAATAGTACTGTAGATGCGAGTTTATTGACCATACTTTAAACAGTGTTATTTGGATAAGGTTGATGTAAAAAAACATAAATATGAGTGCTAACATTTTATTGCTGTAAATACATTTCTTTAATTATTTTAACAAGTGTATCATTTTTCAATGCATCTTATATTAAGTTATTAAAACACGTTGTACATAAATCTTAAGTCCTGCTTCACATGCACCTGTTAAAACTGCAGCTAAGTGTGCCTAAAAAGTTGTTGTTTTAAGGTTGAGGGCAAGTATAGGGGTTTAATTGCAAATGAGAGAGAGAGACAAATAGTACTGTAGGTGCGGGTTTATTGAAAACAATTTCAGATACTTTGAACAGTATTATTTGGATAAGGTTGATGTAAAAAACAGATAAATGTAAGTGCTAATATTTTATTGCTGTAAATACATTTCTTTAATTATTATTTTAACAAATATTTTATTTTTCAATACATTTTATATTAAGTTATTGAAATACGTTGAAAATAAATCTTAAGTCTAGCTTTACATGCACCTGTTAAAATTGCAGCTAAGTGAGCCTAGACTCATAAAATGATAAAAAATCTGATCTGACGGACCAAAGCAACATGTTTAGTTTGTTCAATGACAGGCAGACCACACCTACAATATAGCTAGAATCGTTTCCATCAATCGCTCGCGCATTTAAACTATCCGCAGTAGTCGATTCTAGAGGTAGTCGCTTCGCGCTGTCGTTCGTTTGTTGCCCCAGAGACGAGAAACCAAGCCTAGACCATGCTGGTGAGTAGCCAAAAAGCACGAAACAGCTGTCCATGATAAGCTGTATTTGATTGGATGGACGGCATGTTTAGTTTGTTAAACGGCAAATGGACCACATCTATACGTACTACACAGCTAGAACCGTCGCCATCTAGCGGCCCCATGGTGACTGGACCTCCAATTGCGGTCTAAGATCTTTACAATCCCAACCGGTGGCCGCTATTCACTGTCCGCAATGGTTAATTCTAGTGGTAGATGGTGCTTCAAGCTGTCTTATTTCGGAAGACATAAATCACCTCATTGAAGGCATGGTCCGACGAGTCAACGAACGGCATTGGGGTGGTCCAGTACATTTATAGGAAAATACAGCGATACAGCAAATGTTTTCATTTCAAAATGTAATGCCTTCAACCTCTGTGCTCATTTCTAACTGCACACAAAATTTCATTCGAATAAAATCATTGTTTATCACTGAATTCATAAGCACCAGTTTGTATTGATAAAGTGAAAAAAAACATATAGATGATAGTAAAGTGATCGTGTGAGTGTCTGTTGACCTGAAAAGAGCGTTGAAACTACTGCCAGAAAATTGTTGAGAAAATGTGAAATGAATGGAGTTAAACGTACAGCCCTTTTGTGGTTGGGTGATTATTTATCTAAGCGGCTACAAGTGATAAATATTGAAAATAAAACATCACAAACATGATGTTCCTGTTGACCATGGTGAACCTCAAAGCACCGTACTAGGCCCGATACTCTATTATTTAAGTCAATGATATGTCCAATATTTTTAATAATTATTTTATTAATTTGTTTGAGGGTGAAACATTAATTTCAGTTATAGGTTCGATAAGTCACGAAATTGTAGATGTGATGAATAGTGAAAAGGGCAAACTTACTTTATGGTTAAAACGAAATGTATGATCATAGGTTCAAAAAATAATTACAAGAAGGTAGACTTAAGTTTGTCAGTGAAAATTAAGGGAGAGGCACCTGATTTTATAGATAGTTTTAAATATTTAGGTATTATAATAAATTAGCAACTTACTTTCGGTAAACGCGTTGATTATATGCGTAAAAGGATCGGGCATTTTCGTAGACTTGGTGACAATCTGGTGCAATTCAATAATTTCTCCTCATTATACTTATTGTGCATCACTTCTTATTACATACAGAATTGAAAAAACAAAGGCTACAAATTCTGTTAAGTAAATGTATGCAGAGTTTGTTAAATTGTAGCAGGTATACCTCCATTCAGGATACGCTAAAGACGAGTAACATACGAGAACACCAAATTATTCAAGAGGTTCCTTCTTATCTTGATAAGTTTCTAGAAAAAAGGTATCAAATGCAAGATTACGATGTTAGAGCAAAGAAAAATGTCCATGAAGAAAAATTTAAATCCAAAGGTTTAGAAAAGTCGATGTTTGTTGAAGGTCTAAAAATATACATCAATCTGCTTATTACTGTAAAAACATTCAGTAACACAGTTCTTGTAAGTTATATTTATTATGTATGAAGTAGGAATAAATCCTTTTTTATTCCATTCTAAGAACTACTGACTTCCGGTAGTGGTGTCTGAGGAGTTCAGAAAATCTATTCTTCTGCGCTCATTCATTACCCTGTTTTATATTCAATTTGAACGATCCTTTTTTTAAATTTTGAGATAGTTGAAGATGTACTGTAGAAAACTGAAAGAACGATTAATATAGTTACAGAATTAGACAGTTCGCAAACTATGTAATCTCATTTTTAACAGAGTATCAACCAATATTTAATCAAAGTTGGAAAACGCTAATGAAAAACACAATACATTTCTAAATTTCATACATAAAAAGCTTTCACAATTTTATAAAACATACACCTTTCATCTTTCACATCGCACTCGAAGCTGTCAGTTTACGTTGGATGATGGTTTCCATTAATGCGTGTTTTTATTTTACCGCTTGTTGCAGGTTGATTTCCATTGAGTGTCTATTATATTTTCCAAGTATTACAACATCGATTTTGTATATTCGTAAATGCTGCGCTAGTGAATATTTGCAACCAATCGGAATTTATG